TTTTTATTCGATGATTTAAAGAGGAAGAATTGATTCTGTATGAGCAAAAAGTTACTCGAATTTGAGTGACTCGGTTGTTATTTCATTTTTCGAGTAAAATTTCACTCAAGAAAATTTTGAGAACTTAATTAATTCTGATTCTATTATATATTATATTCTCTCAATGTAATATTAATTTTTCAGTTACACCAGACAAAAGTTAACTGTCCAGCAATCGTTCGAGAACTGCATTAGATTCCCATCAGAGACTCTATTGCTACATTTTATCTTTTCCACAAAAGATACACTTTTTCACCTTAAAATTGAGGTGTTTTATGTCACAGAGACAAGCCATTTCATAAAGACTCTTACATCAAGTATCTGTATATTTTCAAGGAAACCTAACAACATATTTATTTATACTAATATATAAAATATTTTTCTAAAAAAAGAAATATACGTTTCCTTTTTATGAAAGGAATTTCTTTTTTCAAAAAACGAAATATACATTTTCTTTTCACGAAAAAACTTTTTCATGAAAACAATTGTTAATTATATTTAAATAAAGGTATATGTTTAGATTTTTAAGTAAATATTTTTAAGTCATTAGTACCTACCCCTATAAAACAAATATTTTTTTATTCTTTAGATGTTTCTTCTCTCACAATATAATATTAATTTTTTAGTTACACCAGTTACAAAAGTTAACTGTCCAGCAATCGTTCGAGAACTGCATTAGATTCCCATCAGAGACTCTTTTGTTATATTTTATCTTTTCCACAAAAGATACACTTTTTCGCACAGCCTATGCGAACTTCTACCGCGCATTTTTATATCTATCAACAACATTGCATCCGCTTTCGCGTACGGATTTTCGGACGTGTCCCCGGGGTCCCGTGTCGGGAGGGGTCCTCTTTATCGCTCCTGCCGAATCTCACTGATAGGATTGCGGCTTTATTAGGTGCTCGGCTCGGTCGCTTTGCGGAGACACGAGCGTGTACGTGGCGGCCGGCTGGCACGCGCCGCGTGTAATTTAATCGGCTATTCGGGCGGGCTCAGGCGGCAAGAACGAAGCGCATCCCATCCTCTGTAGGATCAGCAGCGACCGCGTCGCGAGGAAGGCGGAAGGTGGACGCATCCTAATCCCTGAGGAAACGGTTGCACTCGCGGTGCGCTCGTCTTGATGATGACGACGACGATTCCCGCTTTGTTTTCTTAGCCGGCTCTCTCCTCTAGCAGATGCGCGCCGTCGTAACCCGGTTGCGATGGTCGTCGCCAACCCTTCCTTGAAAATAAGAAACTCGAGACGTTACTCGAGAGAAAAAGAGAAAGAGAGAGAGAAAGAGAGAACGCGTGTCCGTTGTCGCGGGGTATATTATGTAGACGAGAGTCGTGGACGAATCTATCGGGTGGTACGCGCGAGCTTACAGTGGAATTAATAGTAGGGTCTCTGAGGGACTCTCCCCCGTTGGAAGTTATAATACTAAAGATGTTAGAAAGCGGGGACATGTTACTTGCAATCTCTCATACCGTTTTAAGTTATTTTCTCTCAATAAATGGGCGCGGCAGTAAACAACAAAAATAAAATGATCACGAACTTTAAAATTGGAAGAATTTTCGCTGAAATTAATTCGTTATTCTTGAGTAAGAACAACGATAATTAGTTATTTTTCAAGATGAGTCAAGATAACATTAATGAGTTACTTTTTTTAGTAACTCATTAATTCCAAGCAACGATTTATTTTTTAATACCCTTTAAATTTTTTGTAGTGGAAACTCACACAAAATGAATGAAAAATGATAATATTTTCGCGAGGCGATGATGAAAATATTACCACTCGACGTAGGCTGTATGAAAAAGTGCGTCTTTTGTGGAAAAGAAAATATAGTAATAGAGTCTCTGATAGGAATTTAATGCAGTTCTCGAGCGGTTACTAGACAGTTAACTTTTGTCTGGTGTAACTGAAAAATTAATATTACATTGTGCGAGAAGAAACATCTAAAGAATAAAAAATATTTGTTTAGTGGGTACTAATGACTTGAAACTATTTACTTAAAAATCTAAACATACACCTTTATTTAAATACAATAAACAATAGAGTCAACATCGGTGTTGTTAACATGACATACATCAGAGACACTTCTCAATTTCGAGTGAAAATATTTACTCAACGATTCAGCAGAGAATTTATTCTATAAGAGTGAAAACTAACTCGAATACGAGTGACTTGATTCACTCTATTTTTAAAGTAAAATTTCATTCCAAGAAGTTTAGAGTCAACCATTAAAAGAAGAAAAGTAAACTAATTAATTGCTTTTCTTAACAATAGAGTGATATTTTTCTACGTGCAAGAATGAATATTTCATTAGAATGAATTTGTGATTCTGACTTTATATGAGCGAATGTGTTAGTCGATTAGAGTGGATATGTCGTGTAATGATAGAGTACATCAGATTCTCTTTAATTTTGCGTCAAAATATTCACTCGATGATTCAGAATAGAAAATTCACTTTATATGAGTGAAAAATTACTCGAATTTGAATGACTCTATGTGGTTACTCTTTTCTAGTGCAGTTTTACTCCAAGAAATTTAGAAAGCAACTTCCTCAGTCTTGATTATAACGTCAAAAAATTTTAACGCACAAGAAGATTCCTATTTTAAATATGTTTCTTACGCGCAGAGAAACTTCTTATCTTCTAAGAATTAAAAAAGAAACAAGTTTGTCCATTGAATTGAGGTTGTGTTCTAAACTATTTCAAGAAAAAACCGTTTCATTGTTCAAACCGTTTTGACAAACTTTCTATATTTTTTAGAGTGAAACCTGACTTGAAACGCACTGAAAAGTGGCAGTACTTTCACTATAGTGTCATTCAAAACCTCAAGAATAAATGTTTCACTTAAACTTAGAATGGATTCTGATCCCATATGAGCGAACGTTTCGATTAGAGTGAATATGTTCCTATTATAATAGAGTATATCAGATTCACTCTTCAAAATTTCGAGTAAATATATTCACTCGAAGATTCAAATTAGAAAATCCACTCTATATGAATGAAAAGTCACTCAAATTCGAGTGACTCTGTGGTCACATTCGAGTGAAATTTCACTCTAAGAAATTTAGAGAGAACCAAGTGTTCATCTCGCGATTCAGCTCGTAAAATGTTTCGCACTCTCTTGCGAGGGTAAAGACAAAATTGAACGGGGAAGCGGATGGCCGGTCGAGGGCCATCGATCGCGCGTCAATCTTGAGTCGTCGTCATCGCCGATCGTCCTTACGTAGGCAATTCTACTTTGCCTCTTCGTCTGACCGAATCGTTGACGTGGAGACGCCGAAATTGCTTTGGAGCATTAGAAGGTTCGCAAGAGAGGGAGGAACATCGCGCGCAACCCCCCAAGATGGCTGCTCCCGGCTCGCGAGCGTATCGACGTTTGGCGTTTGCGGGGTTTCCTCGAGGTAAGCTCATCGGGAATTGCGGGTCTTCCCACCCCCGCTGCATCGCCGCCTCCTCTAGTGTGCGCCCTCCCTCCTTCCCTCCCGTCGGCCACCTTGTCGCCCCGCCGAACCCTCCTCAAAAACAAAGAAACACACGTAATTAAATTTTTCCTGAGCATCAGGCGAATTAATGCTCGAGTCGTCGCAGCAGCTGCAAAGTCCACGAATGCGCCGATGAGGTGGATGAAAGCGAACTTGCGAGGGGAGTAGATAGAGAGCTTTCGATTGTTATTTTCTCTTCTCTTCGTTGTACTTAGAAAATAAAATAGAGGACTGGTCTGAAGTCGCGCGAGAATATCCTGGTGTGATTCGAAGGTGGAGTAATTAGTTGTGCAACCCCGAAGTGTTTTTTTTTTCTTTTTTAGGTATATCGAAACGCGACGCTTGAGGCCAATTTTTTTGTGCATGGTCTTTATCTTAATTGCGAAAAACGTATAAAAGATAGAAGCTAAGATTACCACAAACTAAGATTATTAAAATTGCTTTCATTATTATAACAATTACTTTAAAAGTTATATAATGATGTAATTTTTATTCAAACACATAAGTAAATAACTTTTTATTTTTTATTTCTTAAAAATTCTCAATTTTAGTTTCATTTAATATAACTTTACGTTATATGTTTATCCAATTACAAAAAGTCTTTCCTAAAAGATTTATAAAAGATATAAAAGATAGATCTAAACATTTTTTAAAGTACATAGGGTGTCCCAGCATAAGGAGAACACCTAAATATCTTCTTTGTTTTTAATGATACGAGAAATATTTAGAACAATTTGAATGATTTCGAAGAAGGAATAACGTGGAAGGAAAATTTCTTGTAATAATTTTTTTTTTCGAAATTTTCCGAATACTATTTTGAATATTGACTTAGGATTTGAATGTTTTGTTTATGTTCAAAGTCTTCTCAGGTTTATAATTTAACGTGTTTCAATGCGTTTCAACACTCACCACAAGATGCAATAAAAAAAATGCATGTTTTCTTACAAAAAAATACCGGGATCTTAAAAAATTTCGAAAAAATGATTGCAAATAATTTTTTTCTATGATATTCGTCCTTTGGAACTATTCAAATTGTGCTCTAAACATTTCTTATTAAAAACAAAGAAGATATTTAGATATTTTATTTATGCTGGAATACCCTGTTTAATAATATGATTGTATATATAATTATACACATATTATATATGTAATTTAAGTATGCATCTCAGCTCTCATATTTATTGCTCAAAAAGCAATTACGTATTTACAACCTTGTTTTGTATCAATTGGGATGGGGTTACCGCAACGTAATGCGACTAATTAAGAGTCTTTACGTAAGCTTGCCTCCCATTCAGAGGCATGAGATAATAGAGATTCAACAGATTCGCAATCACGCAAATAAAGCTTGAATGCATCGAGTGCGCGTAATAATTACGAAACACACGATGAATTTGTCTTGCATATCGTTTATTTGATTACGGACAATTGATTTGTTAAAGTGAAAATTGCATGCAGGGAGAACGAAAGCTCACTACAATGTTCTGTCGTGTTTATGTGATGCATACAAATTTTATTCTTAATAAATAACATTATTCTTTGATACACTTGATTAAAATCGTTCCGTAAACCTAATGATAACAATAGTATGTATCGATATAACGCGTTACATCCGGCATATACTTTAAATTTTCTTTCATATATCCCTGTTTTCTAAGTGCACATCTTCAGAAAAATGGCTGTTCCGTATCACAATATTTGCAGCGGATGAAAAAGATATTTGAATGTATCGCCTTTTTTAAAGTACGTTTATTCCAACAAGAAGAGAAAATATACGTGCTTTTTTAAATTGGTGTACAATTATACACAAAATTATTTGTATCTCATTCACAAATAAGATCACAAATGATATACGAAATAAAATTTAACTGAAATCTAAAATGAAGAATAAATACATACATATCTTAATACGTTGATTTAGCGCAAAAATTTGTTTAAAATAAAACAGACAAATATCTTTCTCACTTACTATATTACATTCATTTTACCCATTAATTAAGACATTATTAAAAATAGCCGTAGTAAATCGAAGAATTGTCTACAGCCAACAGGAGCAGTCAAGTGCCGACAAGTTTTTCTTCTCTTTCATAGTAACGATGTGTATTATTTTTCTAAGGCACTTATGATGAACTAAACGAAATCCATTAATCCTAAAATTCGATTAGAAAATAGTTTCCTATATTTCTGTACAGCGTGCAACACACTGGGAAAAAATATATATACACATATATATCGATACGTATCACCAAGGCATCATTTTATTGTCAATCCCGTGCAACGTTAATATATATATATATATATATATATATATATATATA